AGGGCCCCTTGGTCTCATCGCAAATTGTGCCACGTTGTCAAGCTGCCATCCTCTCTAGGGTGATGGGGACATGACCCTCACGCCTACCACCCGCATACACTGCAGAAAAGCAAAAGGGACAAAGGCTGCATCCTGCTCACAGGGGACCCCTTTAGCCAGGGGGCCCAGGCTCACCCTAGGAGGAGCCCGGTGGAGCCAGGACACGGCCGTGACCACCCCAATTCAGGGCCAGGGGCCGCGCCCGGCCAGGGCTTCCGCCCAATCACTCCCTTCCCTTCCGAGAAGCTGGGCCCCTTGGGCCTTCGCTGGGTTTTGTTTTCCTAACAGCTCGGCTCACAGGAGCCCGCTGGCCTAGGGCCCCGGCTGGAGCCAGGCTATCGAGTAGCTGCGGCCACATCTGGAAGACGTTTGGGCAGAGCTCAGCCCCCGCACCGCAGCAGGCTGATAAGCGTCTGCTGCTGGCTTGGAGCTCCAGGAAGCTGCAGCCTCAGACCACCGGCCCTGGCTGCCTGAGCCTTCCAGAGGTGGGAGAGGAGGGCCAGAAGAAACTGGGGCATTCTCTGGCCCCTGACCTGCCAGCCCATTCCAGAAACCACAATGGCAGAACCAAAGATGTCAGCACAGAAGGCAGCCTCAGAGGCCCCAGAGGTCCCCTGGTCCCTGCTGCAGACACGTGCCCTTCTGCACCAGGTCCCGTGGTGCCTGCGTCCCCCCCAGCTGTCGTGATCACTCCCAGGATGGTCTTCGGGCCTGGACCGTGCTCTCGCACCTGGGGCCACTTCCTCATCACCATGCATCTTAGCCATCTCGGCTTCCCCATGCCACGGGTTGGAAAACCAAGGATCCATGGGGTGTCTGCATGGGTGACACCTCACACTGACAGAGGTGAGACATGGTCCCGGGTTTGGGGGACTGCACTCATGGCCTCCTTTGTCCTGTCCTATTCTGCCACCAGATCGCCCAGTGGAGGTCCTCACTGTGGGCCATCCAAGCCTCTAGGCCCTGCCTCCTGAGCTGAGAGCACGCAGGGATCCTGGCCGTTGGGTTCATCACAGTGCCTTGGGACAGAATTCTGGGCAGCCCCTCCAAGCCTGGTGCCTGGCTGATCCCACAGACAACACCCAGCAAGCAACAAGTACATGAAGCAGGAAACAAGCCACACAGAAGGGTGAGGAGATTGAGTCGCCCGTCACTGGCTCTCACGGTGCCTGACAGACGCTGTCAGAAGTCCTTTCGTGCTTGAGCCCAGGAGTTTGAGACCAGCCTGGGCAATAGAAGACCCTGTCTCTACAAAAATCATAGTAAGAATAATTTTAAAATACAGACCAGGCGCAGTGACTCATGCCTGTAATCCCAGCACTTTGGGAGGCTGAAGCAGGTGGATCACCTGAGGTCAGTTAGTTCGAGACCAGCCTGGCCACCACGGTGAAACTCCATCTCTACTAAAAATACAAAAAGCCGAGCGTGGTGGTGCATGCCTGTAGTCCCAGCTAATAGGGAGGCTGAGGCAGGAGAATCGCTTGTACCTGGAAGGCAGAGGCTGCAGTGAACTGAGATTGCACCATTGCACTCCAACTTGGGCAACAAGAGCAAAACTCCATCTCAAAAATAAAAAATAAAAAATAAAGCAGTGCTTTATGGATAGCGATTATGAGGTCTCTCAACGCACCTGTCAGACAGGCACCACAACTGCCCTCCTAGTTTTCATTACGACGTCTTCTTTCTTAACTTGCAGATAGGGGGGATTTCAAACTATTTTATCACCGTCTTTATTATTGTTCTAACTGGGACTGAGGTCAGTCAGAAAACAGTCTCTGAGATGGCAAGCCTTCACAGCAGCTGACTCACTCTACGGCCCAGCGTGTGGTCAGCTTCCATAACGGCCCCATGCAGTCCTGAAGAGCGTGTTTGCCCTTGGTCTTCTGTGTGAGTCCGTCCAGTCAAGCTTCTTGATGATGATGCTTAAATCTGTCCTTACCAAGTATTTGTCTGCTTGCTATCCACTCCTGAGAGAGGAGTGTAGAAGTCTCCCACTCGGGCTGGGTGCGGTGGCTCACGCCTATGATCTCAGCACGTTGGAAAGCCAAGGTAGAAGGACCGCTTAAGCTCAGGAGTTCAAGAACAGCCTGAGCAAAACAGCGAGACCCCATCTCTACAAAAGAAATTTTTAAATTAGGCGAGCAGGGTGGCGCACACCTGTAGTCCCAGCTACTCAGGAGGCTGAGGCAGGAGGATCGCTTGAGCCCAGGCGGTCAAGGTTGCAGTGATCCAAGATCTCACCACTGTACTCCAGCCTAGGTGACACAGCAAGACCGTGTCTCAAAAAAAAAAAGGAAAGAAAGAAAGAAAAAAAGAAATCCCCCACTCTGCAAAGGACAGCCTTTAGCACAAATGATGCTGGCACAAATGGATGTCCCAATGCAACAAATTGAAACTCAACCTTTTCCTCATACCCCACCTCAAAATTAACTCCAAAAACTGGAAAACTTCTAGCAGAAAACATAAGAGAAAATTTTTATGCCCTTGGATTAGGCAAAGATTTCTTAAATGTGACAGCAAAATATGATCCATCAAAGAAAAAAAAACTAATGAACTAGACCATCAAAATTGTAAACATTTTCCCTTCAAAAGACACCATGAAGGCCGGGTGCGGTGGCTCACACCTGTAATCCCAGCACTTTGGGAGGTCAAAGCGGGTGGATCACCTGAGGTCAGGAGTTCAAAACCAGACTGGCCAGCATGGTAAAACCACGTCTCCACTGAAAATACAAAAAATTAGCCAGGCATGGTGGTGGATACCTATAATCCCAGCTACTCAGGAGGCTGAGGCAGGAGAATCACTTGAACCCAGGAGGCGGAGGTTGCGGTGAGCCGAGATGGTGTTATTGCACTCCAGCCTGGACAGCAGAGTGAGACTCCATCTCAAAAAAGAAAAAAAAAAAATCATGAAGAAGCAGACTGGGAGGAAACATACATAACCCTTTAATAGGTTAGAATGTATACACTAATTTCATTCCTTTAGCGGTAGTTCATCCAAGTCTCTAGTAAATTCATATCTTTACCCTCCCTTGAACATCACAGGACCTTCAAACCTTTTAATTCTAATTATTTCCCTCCTAACTTTAAGACCATTTTGACCTTGTATTTTTCTTTTATTTTCATTTAAACGCCATTTTGCCATCAATATTTGTTTAGATTTGCCCACATATGACAATCTCTTCGACTTTCATCTCCTTATACCCCAATTTTTCCAGCCGGGGTGAATTTCCTCTGGCTCAAACATGTCTTTTGAAAATTCCTCAAGCAGCCAGGCATGGTGACTCACACTTGTAATCCCAGCACTTTGGGAGGCCGAGGTAAGTGGATTGCTTGAGCCCAGGGGTTTGAGACCAGCCCAGGCAACATAGGGAGACCCTGTCTCTACAAAAAAAAAAAAACAAAAGTTACCTGGGCGTGGTGGTGCACACCTAGTCCCAGCCACTCAGAAGTCTGATGTGGGAGGATCACCCATGTCTGAGAGTTCAAGGCTGCAGTGAGCCATGATTGCACCACCGCACTCCCATCTAGGCAACAGAGTGAGACTCTGTCTTAAAAAACAAAATTAATTTTTTAAAAAAATAGAAACTTCCAGCTGGGTGCAGTGGCTCAGGCCTGTAATTCCAGCACTTTGGGAGGCCAAGGCAGGCAGATCACGAGGTCAAGAGATCAAGACCATCCTGGCCAACATGGTGAAACCCTATCTCTACTAAAAATACAAAAAATTACCCGGGTGTGGTGGTGCACGCCTGTAGTCCCAGCTACTCAGGAGGCTGAGGCAGGAGAATTGCTTGAACCCAGGAGGCAGAGGTTGCAGTGAGTCGAGATCACTCCATTCCACTCTAGCTTGGGCAACAAGAGCGAAACTCTGTCAAAAAAAAAAAATTCCTCAAGCAAGGATTGTTTGTGGTGCATCTTTTTTATTTTTATTTGCCTATGATTGTCTTTACATTTTTCACTGGATATTGAATTCTATGTTGGTAATCCTTTGTGTCTTTATTTTTTTCACTGGATATTGAATTCTAGTTTCGGTAATCCTTTGTATCTCTATATTTTCCACCGGATATTGAATTCTAGGTTGACAACCATTTGCATCTTTAATTTTTTCACTGGATATTGAATTCTAGGTTGGAAATCATTTGCTCTGAGCATTTGTAAGATATCACTTCTCTATTTCCTAACTCCCACTGTTGCTCCTAAAGAGCAAGCTCTTGGCATAACTATCTTTGAAGATAATCTACATTTTCTCCTGGGCTCTTTTATAAGACTTCTTTTGATCTTCAGTGTTCTGCATTTTTATTCTGATGTGACTGGTGTGGAATCCTTTTTCTTTGGCTTGCTTGAGAGTCATTGGGCTTTCTTAAATATCTGAAATAGTTTCAGCCATAATCCTCTTCAAATATTGCCCCTACCCCTATTCTATCTCTCATTTTCTTGAACTCCACTTGCAATATGCTTACACTTGCATTCTAGTTCTCATGTTCTTTAGATTTCCTAGTTCTTAACCTTTCAAGAGTGCAATTTTCTTAATTTATTTTGTCTTATCCTTCAGTTCATCAATTCCTTCTTTGGTTGTGTCTAAACTGTGGTTAAACTATCTTTTGAGTTTAGCATTTTGATTGTCATGTTTTTATTTCTAAGAGTAGGTTTGGTACTTGTTCTTCATTGATATAGTCAAGCCTCTTTTATTTCTTCCATAAAACATACTTATTTTCCAGTCCTGATATTTTTAGTATCTAAATATTTGGCTGATCTGATTCTACTGCCTATTGTTTCTGTTGACTTTCACTCATGGTGTTTTGCTTCCTTGTATATTTAGTGATTTTTTTTTTTTTTTTACTTTGAACTGCTTGTTTTCTGTGGAAATTTATGGAAATTTTCTGAGGCCTGAGGTAAAGGCAGAGTCCTTTAGAAAGTAATTGTATTTACTTCTGTCAAACAACTGAGGTACTTCCAATATGAGACTCCTTTAAACTAAAATCCTTTATTTTGGATAATTGAGGAAATATGGATTCAGGCTACATACACACATGAAGGTCAGGTTATAGCTATTAATTCTTAGAGAATGCTTTTCCTCTTCCACTTGGCACCAAAGTTCGCTACAGGCAGTGTTGATGTAGTATCCAATGGGGAAATCGATCTTTTTGTTTTCCATGACAGTGAGGTATAGCTCATGGTGTCCCACATTGAAGGAAGGGTCTTCTGCTAGACTCTCCTGCATGGTCAGGCTCTGTGCTTTGTCTTCTGACCTCTAGCCACAAAGGTAGTCAAAAAACGAGGCTCAGGTTTGCCTATGAAAATAAAAAGTTTTCAATCCTCCAACGTCAAAAAGAAGACAGGCTGTTCTCTGGCCACAGCAACAAGCAAACTGAGTCAAACACCAGCACTGAGTCCATCTCAATCTAGTAGTGACCACTTTCTTTGTTCAACCCACCAGCAATAGCCCCTCTCCAAAAACTAGTCTCCCTCAGTTAAAGATCAGCCAACCCCTAAGCTCTCCCACGTCTGAAAGCTTCCTGTGCCTGAACCCCACTCTTCCTGAAACTCTATGCAAAGCCAGGAATTTGCTTCGTCCAAGGAGTCTGAGCCTTACAGGTTTAGATCTCCCTTGCTTAACAAACAATAAGTTCCGCTTTTTGTTTCAGAGATGGAGCGGTGGCCACTTCTTTCCATATGTCCCAGCAAAGCCAGCTTCAGTATCCACCTTCCTCTATGGGTCCCATCTCTTCTCCATCCTGGCCTGAGTACTCCACACTTCCTAGTCAGCTCAAGACAATAATGAACAAGACAGGCATTTTTTATTCTATCCAGAATTTCTAGCCGCTGTTAGTGGGAGGGTTTGTATAGGTTCTTAACTGGCCGTACTGATAAGAACAGAAATCATTGGCCTTTATTTTACAGATGAGGAAACTGAGGTATGGGACCATTACATAAATCACTTAAAATTATGGAGCCAGCCCATCACAGATTCAAGCCTTGGAAGCCAGGATCTAAGGTCTGTGATCTGATGCTCTACCACACTCAACAAGTGAATCAGTAATTAGTGAATTCATTCATTCATTCATCCATCCATCCATCCGTCCATCCATCAACTATTTATTGAGCTGCTTCAGCCCTGCACATTGTATTAGTCTGTTCTCACACTGCTATAAAGATACTACCTGAGACTGGGCAATTTATAAACAAAGAAGGTTGAATTGAATTGACTCACAGTTCGGCAGGGCTGGGAAGGCCTCAGGAAACTTACAATCATGGTGGAAGGGAAAGCAGGCACCTTCGTCACAGGGCGGCAGGACAGAGAGTGAGCATGAGCAAAGGAAAAACTGCCACTTTAAAAACCATCCAATCTCATGAGACTCACCCACTGTCAGGAGAACAACATGGGGAAAACCACCCCCACAGGCCACATTTTCCCTCCTGGACACACAGGGATTACAATTCAAGGTGAGATTTAAACCATATCACACAGACAGATACAAACCATACCACACAGACAGTAGCAAATGAGACGGGCAGCATTCCTGCCCTCATTCTGCGTACATTTCAGGAGGAGCCCACACAGGAGCGCATGGAGGATGCCTCCCCTCGGAGTGAGCAGAGGCACCGGGAGGAACCTGTGGTCAGGGCCGGCGGCGGCAGCAGCCAAGGTGACACACACCCACTCCGGCTGTTCAGCCTGAGTCTCCAGGTCAGGACCCTCCACTAAGTCCCCAAGACAGATCCCATGCCCCTGGGAGGCGGCCACAGGAATGAGCCCGCGGAACCCACGGGAACCCAGAGGCACAGCGAAGGTTTGGAACTTTCCCAAAGTCTGTGGCCTGGCCGACGTTTGAACACAAACTCACAGATTCTCCTCCTCCCTTTGAAGACAAATGCTCCGACAAGGACTCAGGGAAGAGCTTCTCGGCCAAATGACTCTGGATTTAGGGAAGGCAAAGGTCGTAGTGGCTTCTCAATGCTGGTAACCCTAGAGGTGATGATAAGGAAGTCACAATCTGTTTGGTTGGAAGCCAGGACCTTCCCTAACTTCACAAGCCTAAACATAGGTCATCTCGTGGAGCTGGGCTATCGACAAACCTTCTCAGCTCCTGATGTCCCTGAGGGCTCTAGAATTCAATACACTTCCCAAACTCTGCAGACCAAGCAGGTCTTGGCCTCTGTCCTGTTACCCCAAGGGTCATGGGTCCCCAAAAAGGCCCCAACACAATGGTGGATGTTGGGCAGAGCTGCAGGGGCGGAGGTTGGAGGCTTCTGCACTGTGTCATTTGGGAAACAGCTGGACACAGCTGTGTCCTGAAGACACTGCCCTAGCCCCACCGGGAACACAGGGTCAGACGCCATTCCCAGCACAGGCCCCACACCAAAGGCCAGGCCAGGGGACAGCATGTCCTGGGGCTCAGCTGGCCCAATTCCAGCCTGACAAAGCAGCCTCCCTTGACTCCAGCCCAAGCCAGAGGAACATGTAAGCTTCTTATCTTGGGTCTTCTCAAGCTGGGTGCTGTCTGTCCAGCAGGGGCAGGGTGCTGTTTTCCCAGAGTGACTGGGGTCCAGCTGGACAGGGCTTTGAAGCTTCTGGAACCTGCACTGTGGCTCTCACCAACCTTCTTCAGAGCTACTCGAGAATCTGGAGAATCTAGGGATCCAGTGAGGGTTGTCCCAGGACCCACACATGCCACTGTGGGCTGAAGCTCCCCTCTGGTGAGAGAGAGCTCTTCAGGGAAGCTGCTTTCCTGTCCCACACACAGCAGGGCCCCATTTGTCCCCACCCACAGCCCCTGCTCCAGAACCTTTTGCGGCACCAGGATCCCTTCCTGCCACCACCCTGCCAAGCCTGGGCACCTCCCTGCAGGCTGGCCCCCCTGGCCTCCCACGTTGTCTCCCATCAGGTCTCTACCCCAGTCCCAGCATGCACATCTTGCTTCAGTGTATGCACACACACACGCACACACATGTATGCATGCACACACATGAATACACATATATACGCAAGCACACACAAATGCACACACATGTATGCATACACACACATATGCAAGCACATGAATGCACACAAATGCGAGCACACACATGAATGCACGCACACACTAATGCAAGCACACACATACAAATGCATGCACACACATTAATGCACGCACACACGTGAATGCATGTGCATGCATGAATGCACACAGATGCACACATGTGTGGGTGCATGCATGTACACGTGCAAATGGATGCACGCACACAGGCATGAATGCACACACATATGCACACACATGCACGCACACACACACACATACACACACGAATGCGCTGTTCCCTGCACCTGAACGCCTTTATGTGTGCCTCTGCTCCCTGCCTGCTGAAATCTTACCGTCCTCCAAGACCTGGCTCAAGGTCCACCTCCTCCACAGCCCCTCACCAGTCCCTCCCCCAAGCCCTCTCTCCACTAGGCACTCACTTTGGGGAACATCCCACCTCTACAGGTGTGTCTCCCCCACCTGACAGAGCCCCAGGGAGCCAGGACCAGCCCCCTGACCTGCTCTCTCCTCCAGCACCTCAGCACTGCAGTCAGCTGCTGCCCCGCCAGTGTGTGGTGGGTTGAGAGCTTTCAGATGTTTCTTATTAATTTTTTATTTTTACCTTTTTTTTTTTTTACCTCACAAGCAACACATGGGTCAATGACGATTCCAAGTTTGTTCAAAGCAACCTCTACCTTTTTGAGAATTACCCCAGTCAAGTGTATATATTGTAGAAATATTCAAACATGCAATAAACAAAATAAGGACCATTAAAATCATCAAAACTGTAGACGTTTGTCTCTGTAGTCACTTACGTAGGGCCGCTGTTCTAAGTTTGTTCCACAAATTGACTCATTTAATCGTGCAATACCTCTGAGTGACAGGTGTGGTCATCATCCCATTTTACAGCTGAGAGCACTGAAATACAGGTCTGTTTGGCAGCATGTCCAAGGTCAAGGTCATCTGGAAGATGCCAGAGCTGGACTTGAACCCTGGCAGCAGGCTCCAGTGCCTATGGTCTTGGCTGCTATGCCCTGTTCTGTGCATAATTGGGATCACATAGCACATACAGTCTTCTGTAAGCCCTTCTCAGCATGCAGTCTCTCCTGAACACCTTCCAGGCAGGATCACTGCGTCATTTTTCAAGCCTGTCACATCCCAGACCACCAGGTCAGCCCACGCTGAGACAGGGTAGACAGGAACTCCTGGAAGGGCTGCACACTCAGTCCATCAGTCAGGCCCCAAGAGTCCTTCCTGGATGCCTGGCCGCTGCTCCACCCCCAGACAGTTGTGGATTTCAGCCCTCGATGGAGGAAAGGCCAAGTCAGCGGCAGCTCAGTTTCTCAGAGGCCAGGGGCCGGTTCCAGGTCATCGGGTCTGCATTTCAGGCCAACCGGCTTCCGGGGGAGGATCAGGGGACCCTGAACAGTGAGAGCGCCACCTCAGCTTATGCAGACACTGTGGAAATGTCTAATCGCAAGAAGCCTCCTCCTGCTTCACTGTAAAGGCCACCATAAGTGCATGACTGTGCCCAGCCCTTAGGACAGATGGGAGAAAGCACTGGCCTGAAAGGCAGACCCAGCTCTCAGAGCCTCAGACACCAGGGAGCCTCCCTAGCTCACACAAGGCTGCCAAGGGACATGTGCCCCCCGCACGGAGAGGCTCCCCAGCCATTGTCCAGAAAGCTACAAGTTTTGAAATATCAGCCACCCAGAGAGAGGTGTGGGGCTGGCTCCACCTGGATCTGGGGGGTCTTGTTCCAAGTGCATCTGGTGGAGTTTTCAAAGCCGGAGTGTCCCTGACCCAAAGACCACCCACCTGGCCATGTCAGGGCCCCAGGCGTGACATGCCTGAATTAGACACATTGTGTCTGGACTTTCAAAAAGAAGGAGGGAGGCAGTCTGGGGACAGGTTCCATTTGTCAGGAAGAGCAGAGGGGCCCGACGGGCACTCACCTTCTATTCCGATGGGGAAGAGTCTTGTGGAAAGGGAAGGGGAAGCAGGAGGGTTGAGCCCCAGGGACTGAAAAGCACCACTCAGGGGTGGAGGCGATGGTATCCCTGATGGGCCACGTGAGACACAAGCATTCGTGGCTCTAGCCTCACCCACAGACGGAACACGGAACTCAGCTTGCTGGGGTACTCGCTGGGGACGGTGCCCAGCAGTGGGGCACCTGCATACACAGGTGTGTGCACACATGACATAAGCTCACACACACACAAGCTCACGCAAGCACACACGAGCTCACATGAGCACATACATGTGACACATAAGCTCACACACACAAAGCACACACGTAAGCACACAGACGAGCTCACATGAGCACACACACAACACATAACCTCACACACATGCATAAGCACACACATGCACACACGAGCTCACACGAGCACATACACATGACACATAAGCTCACACACACATAAGCACACACAGGCACACACACGTGAGCTCACAAGAGTACACACGACACACGAGCTCACACACAAGCTCACGCACACACACATGAGCTCACATGAGCACACACAGGCATGCTCTTACTTGAGTGCACACACGTGTACACACAGGCTCAGCAGCCCCTGGGGCCCTTGGGGCTTCTCGCTAGGTGAGGCCCATTCCACAGAGCACAAGACAGCCTTGAGATTGTCCCGACAGAATACAGATTAAGAAAAGGCAGAGAGAGGCCAGGCAGTGTCTGCACACTGAGGAGCCTGCTCTGGCCCAAAGGGCGTCCACCCACAGGAGCTGATGGGCCATGGGCAACAGCCAAGAACTTCTCCCGACGCACCCCATCACCACGACTCCTGGGGCCTCCCACCAGGTCCACCTCATCACCGCGACTCCTGGGGCCTCCCACCCAGTCCACACAAGCAAGCAGAGGCTGTGTTCTGCCTGGGCCAGGGCTGTCAGACCTCCACGCAGGGGTCCTGGGGAGACCCAGCTGGAGGTGTCTAGAAGCTGCATTTGTGAGCCCATCTTTTCTACTTGGATGGTACATTCATGAGGCCCCCGCCCACACAGGACCCAGGAAAACAGGGCCAGGAGCTGGAAGGGAAAAGACCTGACAGCCACAGCGTGAAGGCCACCAGCCTGGGCCACGCAGGGGAGGCCAGGGCTTGGTGGGTTCGAGTCCGGGTTGTGTCCCAGCCATGGAGATGAGATACC